TTCATACCTTAATTAGACTTCCAGTTTTCTCTTCTTCATAATTCTATTCTAAGAGTGTGTCCTGTTGAAAATATCATTTCCCATTTCTGTTTTCCTCATCCCTAATGCAAAGTAGGGTTTGAGAAGAAAGGCAGCACTGATACTGAGTCACTTGATACAGCAGTTGAGAAAGGCAAAAATACAGCATATAAATGTCCCTGAATTGTTAGCAGGGAAAAGAAAAGTTGTAAAAACAGTGTTTTCTGTCTTCATTTGTGTTGTCTAAAGCATTTAGATCCCCAAAATGTACCAAAATATGTTAGGAAAATGCCATTCTTGAGTACATTAGGAGTTCTTCAGTTAGGAAGTTTAGGTTAGGAGTACTGATATTTTGTATAATATTAGAATATTATGTAGAGTAGTAGAAATTATTTCGTTTTGGGGAGAGATTTACTCCATCCCTGCTCTGGTTATTAGTTCGGCTTTTATTTCTTCATAATAACAGAAACTTCCAGCACAAGTGAGAAAGGTTATGTTGTGGTGCAGTATTTACATATATGTATGCTGGAGGGAAGGAATGCCATCCAGAGGGACCTCAACATGTTTGTAAGGTGGGCTGATGCCAACCTCATGAAGTTTAACCATGCCAAGTGCAAGGTCCTACACCTGGGTCGGAGCAATCCCAGGCACAGCTACAGGCTGGGCAAAGAAGAGATTCAGAGCAGTCCAAGGAGAAGGACTTGGGGGTGCTGGGCGATGAGAAAATGAACATGAGCCGGCTTCAGTGTGCGCTTGCAGCCCAGAAAGCAACCGTATCCTGGGCTGCATCAAGAGGAGTGTGACCAGCAGATCCAAGGAGGTGATCCTGCCCCTTTATTCTGCTCTCGTGAGACCCCACCTGGAGCATTGTGTGCAGTTCTGATGTCCTCAACATAAAAAGGACATGGAACTGTTGGAACAAGTCCAGAGGAGGCCACGAGGATGATCAGGGGCTGGAGCAGCTCCTGTATGGAGATAGGCTGAGAAAGTTGGGGCTGTTCAGCCTGGAGAAGAGAAGGCTGCATGGAGACCTCAGAGCAGCTTTCAGTATCTGAAGGAGGCCTATAGGGATGCTGGGGAGGGACTCTTCATTAGGGACTGTAGGGGTAACAGGTTAAAACTTAAACAGGGAAAGTTTAGATTAGATATAAGGAGGAAGTTCTTTACTGTAAGGGTGCTGAGGCACTGGAATGGGTTGCCCAGGGAGGCTGTGAATGCTTCATCCCTGGCAGTGTTCAAGGCAGGTTGATCAGAGCCTCAGGTGAGATGGTTCAGTATGAGGTGTCCCTGCCCATGGCAGAGGGGTTGGAACTGGATGATCTTAAGGTCCTTTCCAACCCTAACTATTCTATGATTTCAGCACGAGTGGGAAGGGTTATATCGTGGTGCGATATATAGATAGATAGATAGATAGATACACACATACATATATATATCATTAATAATATATATGACAGCTAAGTGAGAGGAGTTACTTAAATTTGTTTCTTGCTTCATTTAATGAAAAACTGTATTCCTACAGCATTTCTCATTGGGTTGGTGTATTTTTTTCTTAGAGGTATGTGAAATTCAAGTACTTCTTAATGACTTCAAAGCATGTGGGAATCAAAAGAACCGAGGCTTAAATAATATTACGGTTGCATTTCCAGGCTTCAAGGGAACTTGTTTCAAAATAAGAACTTGAGTGTGAGTCAGCTGGACCCATTTTGGGTACAGAATTGTGCTCTTGGAATGATTCTCAGGTTTCCTTTCTCTTGAAGCACAAACCCAGGTACTAATGCAAACTAGCTCTTGGGCTTTAATTGTCCCAATTTGTTTGTCAAAACCGATAGTAGTCATAGGCTTTAGTTTTAACTCCAGAAGCCTTTGGAGTTTGAAATACCAACTGTTACTGGAACATCAGTTGGGTTCAAATTGCTTTTCCTTTACTCAGAAGATTTTGTGGCCGAGTACTTGGCCGTTAACTCCTTTGACATGTGTGCGTGCTGATTACAAAACCAGGGCGCTTTTGAGGTGTAGAGGCAGCCAGATTTTTTCCTTGGCTTAATATTTTATGCTAATCAAATAAGGAAGAAAACAAAGCTCAGAACTTTATGCTTTTATCCGCTCTATAGCCAGCGATTTCTGTTCATTTGGAAAGCAGCCAGATTTCTGCCGTACTTCAAAGGATGGGGCATTAAAAGAAGCGTGCTCCGCTGGTTTGCTTTTGCAGGTACTTCTTCAGATCAGATAAATACCGGCTTTATAATATTCCCTGGAATTAATGTAATTAAATTTGGGGTGTTTTTTCATCTCCCCTGCTTGAGGATGCTGCATTTATTCCTAAGAATGTAGTATAAAGCATCCTTGAAGGAAGGTGCTGAGGCACTGGCACAGGGTGCCCAGAGAAGCTGTGGCAGTGTTCAAGGCCAGGTTGGACACAGGGGCTTGGAGCAAGCTGCTCCAGTGGAAGGGGTCCCTGCCCATGGCACGGGTTGGAGCTGGAGGAGCTTTAAGGTCCCTTCCAACCCAAAGCATCCCATGCTTCTATGACATGGATGTTATGAAAGTGGCAGTTTGATTTTGCAACTGAGCTGAAGTTCTGCTCAGTACCTGGTGGAGGCTCTCCCAGCCCCCAGCACGAGATACACGGTGTTTTCCTGCTTTTTACGCTGCTTATTCCTTTGGTACAAAACGAGTTGCTTGGGGAATGGTTAAATGAATCTCCTACTGTCATTTAAACGTAATTAAAAATCCATACTGCAAAGGAATTTGTACCATATTTTTCCTGTATCCAGACTGAACCTTCTACTTCTCACAGCTATTTCTAACCAAACTTTCCCTGTAACTGAATTAATTAAGTCCTAGGAACAGATTATATTAGGGGAAATTAAGCTCTAAGTAAGCAAACCATTAACAATTATGATACTAAATTGCCTGTGACACAGATTGGTCAGGTTTAATAGCAGAAAGTGTTTTCAGCTTGTGAGAAGTAAATTGCAGAAACCAACCTAGGCTCTTGCTTTTGTAACACACGTATGAGGCACAGATCCTCAGTTGGTCTTTGCAAGAGAAGAGCTCCAACAGGTAGGGAGAAGAACCAGCACGGGTAAAGCATTTATAGTGCTTCTGTGTGAAGAAACCCACATTTTCCTTCTCTGTTTTACTGGTTTCCTACAATTGTATTATCAAAAAATGAGGAGCCCTTCTCTGGTGAGTTGAGAGATGAGATTTCAGCCTCATTAATCTTTCATAGAACCTTTCTTCAAATGAGCAGATACTTGTTTCTTCTCCCTCTAATTTGGAGCAGGCTTTGGTTTCCATCACAGAAACTGGTCTATCTGTCTTCAAAGGACTGGCCTGTTAATGAGGTCTTTGTGCTTTTAGTTTTGAATATAAGCTGTTGGTACATAATAAGGTCCTTGTTTTGAAATGCATCTTTTATAGTCGGTCAGCATCATAGTTATTCTCAAGCCATAGTTCTATATGCTGAGCATATGGTTGTGGTTTTGGATGTGATATTGGTGGACTTGGGCAGTCCTTGGGTAAAGGCTGGACTTAATGATGGGGAAGGTCTTTTCCAAATTAGTTTATGATTCTGTGATTTTAGGGAGGAAATTCTTTGCCTTAAAGAAGTACCAGAATCGCTCCGTGAATATGAAACCATCTCTCTGCGTTTTAGAGCACACAGTGAAATCATGCTCTCTTTTTCTAATTGGAAAAGCTATTGGGAAGCACTTTCTAAAGATCAGCAAGAAGCTATGTGTTTTCTTGATTTTGTAGGCTGCAGTAACTGAGGTCCCAAGCATCTGGTCCGCAGGTTTGGAGCTCCCTTTCCAGCGAAACCGAAGTTATGCACTGTAAAAAGCTTTTAAGCTTTAGAGCATTTCATTATGTTTACAAGAAAATTGTTTTGGGCAGCTTCTGTGCCAAGTGACAGTGGATATTTAAAGCAAGTACGATGAGAGAAGGTGTTCTAGAGCAAGAGAAATCCAAGCAACAACTCCTTCTGCATGTATTTGTCAGTTTTGGAATGTGACTCTTGCTGGGAGGGGAGTTTTGTGTTTATGCTAATGGTACCGTGAAATGCAGTTTATTAAGGAAATAAAGAACAGAGAATGATGCCTTAAATGAGTTCAATACCCACGAAAACTTTGGGAAGTGCAGCTTTCAGTTTGACTTTGAAAGCAGCTCAGTTCCTTCCTGAAAGAGTTAATGCCCTGTTGGTGTGCTGAGATTGATAGTCAGAGGAAATAGGAGGTACCTGGAAAGAACTTCTGATTCCTAATATTGCAGAGGTTGCCTTTCTGTTGGCTTGCCTCCCCTCGGCTTTGTGATTTTCAACCAGGCTCCCTAATCTTTCCCTTTGCCTCCGACCACCTCCCAATTTCCTGTTCGCTTTCTTCCCTCTGTTTTCCATCCAAAATACTCGGTTGTTTTCCACTTTCCTTTGCAGCAGGAGTGGATTGGAGGAAAGTGAGTTAAGATGAATGCCATAGCTGTTTTTACAGTATCTATTATCTTCTGTGTTTCATGCCTCTTTGCTGCTCTCGGTGTAAGTTCCTTATTCAAGGAGATTTCAATGTATGAATATTGCTTGAATGGGAGCATGTGTGTGGAACTTGTAATGCTGTACTTTGGGTTGCTGTGTGTACCCTGATTAAAGCTGCTCTGTTTCTAGCTTCATAAAACTCCTGTGTTCTAACTTTTTGAGCTAGTTTCCCCATGGTAGTTAATGTGCACTGAAGGGTATTCCTGGGACATCGCAGGGAGAGATGTTCCTTGTTTAGGCTCATTTCTTGGATATATGGTTTCAAAATGATGGGAATTTACAGTTTGCTCTCTTTTCCCTCGGAATATTTCAGTGCTATTCCCAAATTAACAAAAACGTTAACTGCCTGAGGTAAAGGTGTATTTTATTGTCATTTTCCAGCCCAGCAACAAGGCAGCTGAAATATGAATTTCCTTTTCAGTAATTGAAAGCATTTGTTTTTCTCTTGCAGATTGCATTCTCGCAGCACAGCAACTTTATGGACCTGGTACAGTTCTTTGTGACATTCTTCAGGTACTTCTCCTTTATGTTTCTTCTTCAGGAAAGCTCTTTGGGTTTGAGTGGGGTGGTTGGTGTTCTGTGGTTATGGGTTTTTTGCTTAAGCATCCTGTTTGCATCACAGCCCAGAAAATGGCAATCTCCACTATGTGTAAAGTATTTAATGAGGAAATATGCTGAGAAAATTGGATACCCATCTGTGCATCTTGTGCTGTGCATGCAGGGAAGGGGAGTTTGGAGGTGGGGAAGGCGTTTTGAAATGGAGAACTTCTAAAGTGCTATAGAAGACACCTCCTGAGTTACTACCATACGAATAACGTGTGACTTACAGAAGCTGCAGATGCTCGTACCTTACTTGACACAAATCATGAAGTAAGGAAGTGATTTTGCAGAGTTAAGCATGGGTTGATTTCAGGCTCTTTAGGTGGCACCTTTTGGTTTTCAGCTGGACTCTGAAAGCACGTCAAGTTAAATACACGCATACATTTCAACGTTGAAGCTAAACACCCTCCTGTCCTTCAAGACCTGCTTGGTGAAGTTCATTTGTGGTGTGAAGCAAATGGTTGATTCCACAGGAGTTGGAACCAACAGACTCAGTTTCAATACTTGTTTTGTCTTCCAGCCTTCAGAAAGAATACAGCCCTAACAAAGAGGTTAAATAGCTCCTGAAGCATAGCAGAACATTTCTCTAAGGCTTCAAAATCTACTGTGTTAGCCTCTGTTTTAGGACCTGTTAATACTCCACATATATAAACCAATACTTGATCAATAAGAAGTCCCTTGAAGGGATACACATGGAGTAAGCAGTACTTCAGATCTTAAAACATGGTTAAGGGAGGCAATATGATGCCCATTTAAAAATGAGCAGTGGGAATAGTATCTTAGAATCATGGAACAGTTTCGGTTGGAAAGGACCTTAAAATCCTCCACTTCCAAACCCCTGTCATGGGCAGGGACACCTCACACTAAACCATCTCACCCAGGGCTCTATCCAGCCTGGCCTTGAACACTGCCAAGGATTCCATGCTAAGTTTAGTTAAAGCAAGGAGCTTCAGATGGGTCCTTCAGACAAGTGGTTTAAATCGGTGTTATGTTTTTAGGATGTAGCGCTTGCAGAGCTGAAAGTGTTTTAGTACAATCCCAGATGAACAACAGGCTGGGATCACCACTTTGCTTCCATTGATACGGTGTGTAAATGCTTACTTCTGGATCAGACTTAAGCATTTGTTCTGCTGAATCCATCACAGTCAAGGTCTTCCCTAAAAATCCTGTTGGCAGATAATTGCTTATAAGGAGGACAAATGGAGAAACAGTTGGTTCCTTAATTCCTTTTTAAAGGCATAAGATCAATCCACACTATTGCAAACTCCCATAGTTCTTTCCAGACCCAGATCCACCTGCCTATGAGAGTTTGAAGCTCTTCAGTAAGAGTGATTCCTCCAGTTCTATTGTTGGAAGATAATCACAGTTTGAAGCAGAAGAAAGGTGAATTATGTATCCCAATGTGCACATGCAGCTGAAAATACATGTCCAACAGTCAGTGAGGCTGAAGATAGTCAACAGTGCTTTTCCTTCCCTCCATCATTGCTATCATGGGTCTCCTTGAGAAGTAATGTTGCAGTATTAAGATCCTACTATGCCAAAGGAGTAAGAAATGTGTATTTGGGAGAAGAGAGTTTACTGGTGTTTTCCAAGGAAGCATTTATGATGTGTTAAAAGCGCTTTGATTCTTTAACTGTAGCTACTGCTTAGTTCCTTTTCCTCTCTTTCATTTTACAACTCACTAATTAAGCAGTATATTAGAACAGCATGATCCATCTCTGCTATTTGTAGGGGAAACTATTGAAACGCTGGCATTTTTAATGCTCCAGGGTGCCTTTCGTAATTACACTTGAATCCAAGTTAGATCATAAATAAGTAATATCTGATAGCCCCCTGTGATGTTAATGAGATGGAGTTGGCTGAACATTTGCACACGGAGTAGAGGCAATGAAAATGTTTCCTGCAAAGCCTAAAGACAGTTGGTAAAACCACCTTTGGGACACAGGCCACCTCTAACTAGGAAACTGAGGTACATATCAGTACTTGGAGTACAACCATAGAATAGTTTGGGTTGGAAGGGACCTTCAAAGGTCATCTAGTCCAACCCCTCTGCAATGAGCAGAGATGTCTTCAACTAGATCAGGTTGCACAGAACCACATCCAGCCTGGCCTCGGATACCTTCAGGGATGGCACATCTACAAGCTCTGGGCAACCTGGTCCATGCTTTACCATAATGGACACAAAAAGAGTTTGTTCTGGAAAATGGATGTTTAGAATGACTTTCTATTGGCATGTTCAAGGCTCTTGCTTCATTTTGCCATTCTGCAGGTAGTTCAGGGGATTTTTTCTGTGCTGGTGATGCTGTGGCACACTGCATCTTCTAGAGGCCGCATCCTCCATTGTAACCTCATCTTAAATGTGCTCTTCCACCATGCTGCTGGAAGAAACAGCTGTGCTTTGAGCTGCATGGGGAACCATGTAGTGAAGCATGAGGGTTAGATTTTCAGTGTCATTGCTGACATTGGTGATGATTGAGGTCAAGTCAGGCCTTCCAGTGAGCACTGCAGACCAAGCTGGATTGCCACACTCCAGCACTGCTGAGTTCATGGAGTATCTCAGGCATTGGCTGGACGTGGTGAGGCACCTAATTTGATGGAGAAGCCAGAAACCTGACTGTATAATAAACAGCATCAGTATGGGGCAGGATGAAACAGGTCTGCTGGATTCGATTTCCATGTCATGAAGCGTTCGGACTACTGTGGGTTAGAGGAGGCGTGTTCCTTACATTTGAAGGTGCTGTTATACTTGTGGAGCTCCTTCTGGAGTCAGCGTTCAGTACAAAGCTGAGCATGTGGCTGTGTGTTACCAGTACTTACGTTGCATCACGTTAGTGTTTTATTTCAAGCTGTGAAAATGTCAGTGGATAAAGGTTGGGTAGAACGGTGCAGTTACGGGGTCATTAATACTGCATTGTAATTGGAGCTGCAGGAGCAATGATGTTAACATTTGCAGAGCTGAATGAATTGCGGGCAAACTGGGTTTTTCTGTTTCCTCCTCTTTGCTTTTCATAGCATAGCTCTTTACTTTACACATGTCCTGGGTTAACAGATCTTCCCAGAATCCCAGGTTGGAAGGGACCTCAAGGATCATTTGGTCCAACCTTTCCAGGCAAAGCATCACCTGGACCAGATGTTCCAGCACCCTGTCCAGCCCAATCTTAACAGTGTCCAGCACTGTGAAGTCACTACTTCTGGGAAGATTATGCTGATGGTTGCTGTCACTGGCAAATATTTTCCTCTTGGGTCCAGTGGGAATCTCCCCAGCAGTAACTTGTGCCCATCACCCCTCGTGTTTTCTATGGGAATCCTTGTCCAAAGGGAGTCTCTGTCTTCTTTGAGCCACCCTTTAAATACTGGAGCATGGTGACAAGGTCTCCCTGAGACTTCTCTTCTCCAGGCTGAACAGTCCCAACTCTCTCTGCCTTTCCTCAAAAGGCTTCCCAGCCCTTGGATCCTCTATGTCATTTCTCTGGAGAGGAGCTTTGCTGTTGTCTTTCAGCAGATAGTTTGAGCACTTTTGACAGTCTCTAGTAAGTACCTGTGCTTCCTTATCTTCCAAAATATCTATGCATGCCGCCACACCTATCTGTAAGAAAGATGGCAAGAGACTTTTTAGCAGGGCCTATAGGGCCGGGCCAAGGGGAATGGCTTGAGCCTGCCAGAGGGGAGCCTGAGCCTCATTTGCCACCAACATGCTCTTGCTTTAGGAAACAGGACGTTCATGCCCCAGCTACGGACTCTCATCTTCATCCAAAAGGTCAATGGAATTTCATGTGTCTCCAAGTATATTCTACTGGATTTTCTCCACACCTGGAAGGAGCAACTCAAACTCTTCAATATCCCCTCATTAATCATGTTCCCTTATTTCTTCTGGGATGCCTAAAAAACATCCGCAGTCTTTTATGTGGAAGTACTGATATTACTCTGACAGTGGATGATGTTATTGTGGTTCTACCTTTCCCATCACTGTATCTAGCCAGGGAGGAGGAAGTTCAGGGTTACATGGCAAGGAAACAGCAGAGCTGCTTTTGGGATGTCTCCAGAATGTGAGATTGAAATGATCCTGGATGTTCTCCTCAAGCAGCACTGATTTACAGCAATGTCCTGGACTAAACAAAGTCTTTTACAAGGGCATGCAAGGATAGAACAAGGAATGGCTTTAACCTTGCCAAAGGAGAGACTGAGCTGAGCTCTTAGGCAGAAGCTCTTCCCTGTGAGGGTGTTGAGGCACTGGCACAGGGTGCCCAGAGAAGCTGTGGCTGCCCCATCCCTGGCAGTGTTCAAGGCCAGGTTGGACACAGGGGCTTGGAGCAAGCTGTTCTAGTGGAAGGGGACCCTGCCGGTGGCAGGAGTTGGAGCTGGAGGAGCCCCTTGGAAGGTCCCTTCCAACCCAGGCCGGGCTGAGATCTGAGTCTTTTCTAGAATTTTATTCTAAGCTTTATTAAACTGATTTACAGAGTTCTGATGTCTTCTGCTGCACTTCTGTGTCCTCACATGCATAGTTCTACCCCATTTTTCAACTGGTGTATGTCTTGTTTTTCATATCTCCCCTTCAGGCATCCTTCTAAGGGTGCTCATTGCTAACTCTATCTAGTTCCGTCTTAGTCTCACAATGATTATTAGAGAAATGGGCCTATTTCCTGAATGGAACAAAAGTTGCCAGTTTTGTGTTTTCATCACATCAGACATCTTGTGTCTCTCCTAAGGTCTGATTATCGAACAGTGTAATTTTAGTTCGGTGCAAATAGTTGGACTAGTTCCTCAGAAGACTTATGAGAGAGCAGTATTGGTCTCTGTGCAAGTCAGGCAGATGGTTTAATGTGCTGTATATTGTTTTTCCTGGCTGTAAGCATTTACCTGGTGTTTTCAATAAGTAGGAATGACCTGTGTCAATAATTCAAATCTGAAGTTGT